TGAAATGGAATATGAAAAAAGAATTTTTTTTTCTGAAATTAAATCATTAAATAAACAGGTTAAAACATTTAATTTAAGCAATGTTTAATTCAAGAGAAAAATCAATTAAAAAAAAAAAAGTTGAAAACTGTTGAAGCAACAAATTTTTTTTGTTAATCCTCATAAATTAACACCTGGCAAACAAATGTTAATACATTTATCAAACAAACATATTTTGTAACTTTTATGGCAAAAGGAAATATATAAAATTTGAAAAAGATTTGCAAATAACTTTTTTTATTATTATTTTTTTCTTTTATAACAGAATCAAAATTTTTGTCCAAAATCAGTGACTCATTTTCAGTGAATCTGTTGCATATATAAATATATTATAACATTATTAATTGATAGAATATCCAATAATTAAATTTCCCAGTCTTTAGTTTTCAAAATTTATGTAAGAAAATGTTTTACATTATAAGTTGCATTTGAAAGAAATATTGAAAATAAACAGCTTGCAATTAATAAAATCATCAAAACATTGTTTTTATTTAAAGAAAAGTCAACAAATTTTTTTTGTTTGTTTTTTGTTAGCAAGCAAACCTTTGACTGGTTTTGTTTGTTTTTTGTTAGCAAGCAAACCTTTGACTGGTTTTGTTTGTTTTTTGTTAGCAAGCGAACCTTTGACTGGTTTTGTTTGTTTTTTGTTAGCAAGCAAACCTTTGACTGGTTTTGTTTGTTTTTTGTTAGCAAGCAAACCTTTGACTGGTTTTGTTTGTTTTTTGTTAGCAAGCGAACCTTTGACTGGTTTTGTTTGTTTTTTGTTAGCAAGCAAACCTTTGACTGGTTTTGTTTGTTTTTTGTTAGCAAGCAAACCTTTGACTGGTTTTGTTTGTTTTTTGTTAGCAAGCAAACCTTTGACTGGTTCATTTCTTAATAATAATAAGTTGTTGTTTTTATTTTTCAAAAAATTGCAGGAAAAAAAAATAAACAATGAAAAATGACAATAATAATCCTGAATTATCAACTTTTATTGTAAATTTATAGAATATTAAGGATTTGTGCTAAAGGTTACATATACACTCATTTTCTGAAAATTTGATTGTTTATATTAAAAAGTAAGTTATTACTTGGAGCTGCTTAACAACTTAATTTTTTAAAAGTTTCTTTTTATAAAATAAAGTCAACTAATAAAGCACCTCAGAATCTCTTTAAGTAATACATAGGATTTAAGTAATATGTAAAATTGAAGTAATATACAATACTGAAGTAATATACAATACTAAAGTAATATACAAAGTTGTAACAAATGCTCTAGTCTAATTATTTTCAGTTGTTATTTATTTATTTTTTAAATTAACATGATGAAGCTCATTGATTATGATTACAATAACTGTTGTTTTTTTACTCATCATTTTAGTTAAGGGTTGTCCACAAATTACCTCATGCAATAGGGGGGAGATGAAGGGGTAATCAATTTTGTGGCGATTTGTTATTGGGAAAAAAAGGTGTTCAGTTTTAACGCAAAAATTTTTTTTTCAAATTTCAAATCTAGAATATTTTTTCTATTAATGTCAATACTACCATATCATTCAATTTATGTATGCATTGATTATTATTCTGTGAAACTTTAAAAAATGTAAATAACAAATAAAATAGTTATAATTAAACAATTATAATAGTTAAACTATAAAACATCAAAATAAAATATAACATAAAAAAAAAATTTCAAATAAAGCATCAAAATCCTAAAAATTTGTAAAAGTGTAAAAAAATGTGTGAAAAAAGGTAACACCCTTGTTAGCCACGCATCAAATTGCCAAATTTTAAACATCCAGGTCTCTATCCTGGTGGTATGTATTGCTAATGTAAAAATTAAAACATTTTTTTGTGGCCTTATAAGTTGTATGTGCATACAAATAATGGCTTTCAAAGTAGTATTAAATAATTATTATTAAAATTTATATGTATTAAAATGTATTCATTAGAAACTAAAATCAAGTTCAAAACTCATCAAATCGTAAACTTAAGATAAGTTCTTGCTAGTCTAAAGTAATACAAATGTAAAGTAAAAAATGCTAAAATGACTAAATGTACATATATATGTTTTATATAGTCATCAGGTTGCTGATGCATTGACCCTATAGCCAATCACCGATTGTTCTGAGAATGTTATTTTTTTTACTTATGTGTTTCTATTTTGTTAGCAAACATAAAATAATGCCATAACTAACTAAAATTCAATGTACAAGCTTAAATTATTATATAAGTATATATGCAGCTACCTTTGAAATATTTTTCGATCATCTGTTCTAAAAATATTTCATAATTTTATTAGGGTTACCCACTTTCATAGTCTATTTTTGTGTCACCCATCAACTTTACAAAATGAGAGATTTAAAATCTAAATAAAATGAAATAATGCGAGTTGACAGAAAAAGTTAAATTAAAAATAGAATAATAATTGAATTAATAATAGAATTAATAATAGAATTTGCATAATGTTCAAAATGAGTATAAAATTTAAATATTGCTATGCAATTTTCATTAAACACATTAAAAGGCGGAACTCCTAAAAATTTTATGTTAAATGTTAAACTATTGCACCTAGAGTCTTTCCTTATTAATGTCTTAGTACTTTTCTCATTTTTTATAATTCATAACATATATTAATATTGCATATCAATTTTTATATAATACCTAATATATTTATTATATATAGTTTTAAATAAAGTTTTTCTTTATCAATTTAGCATGAATAAGACTATGAAAATGAAAGTTAGCTAAGTTCTTATTTTAAAATTATTTTTAACTTACATTTTCCACCTGCATTTTTAACTTACATTTTCCACCTGCATTTTTAAAAGCGTAGATTAGTTACACTTTCATTGAAATTTTGATTTTAACAATTTAAGACACTGGTTTTCACACATCTTAAGCGTAGGTCTCAAATACATTTTGAAATTAGAAAACATGTCTCATCTAATAACTATTGGTTTTCTCTGTAGAGTTTTTAGTTTTTCTTGAAAAATAATGTAAAATTGTGTAAATAACATAACTTGTAGATTTTCTTTTTAGGCCAATTTAACGATAGCAACATTGTCAAATAGGTCATAATACATTTTTAGTTTGTGTTTTACATTTATTTAAAGAATCCCTATGCAACTTTTTTTATCTTTAAGCATGTGCTTAGACCCTGTTATTTTAAACACACCTTTTATTGGTTTTTTTAGTTATCCAATCATTGACTTAGTTAATCCAATCATTGACTGAACTCTAAGTTAAAAAAAATGTGCTGTAAATGAATAAACGGTTTAAATGTTGTAGTGTGTAGTCCATGCATCAATAGTGATGTAACTCAAAAAATATTGTTTTATTGCATCATTCATAATTTGAATTTTCATAAATTAGAACTATAACTGTTTCTGTCATTTATTTTCTAGAATTTTTTTTTTAAAATTTTCTATGTTTTTTGTTTATAGTAACTCCAACATTGTTGTTATAATACACTTTGCTATTATCATTTTTTTTACTGGTTGAAAGAGATTTTTTGTTTTGATTGATCTACTTTTCAATATTTTACATTTCAGCTGATCTATGTTGATCTGTATAAATATACATATTATTACAGCTGACCTATGTTGATCTGTATAAATATACATATATTTATACAGATGAACATAGATCAGCTGAAATGTAAAATATTGAAAAGTAGATCAATCAAATTATTTTCAGAACGATCAAGTTTAATTTTTGTAATTTTCATCTAATCAAGGTGTGAGCTAGGAATTTTTTTATTGTGTTTTTGCATTATTAAGAATATTCATTGTTTTTCTACAAAATATTAGGAAATACTATTTAAATTGATCTATTACTTCAAGAAAAAAAGAAAAAAGGTCAATGAATTTTGGCAATTTTTATCTTATTGTGAATACTGTGGTATCAGAGTGCCTCTTTTATCAATAAATGAAGGTATATTGACACATCAAGAGTGTATTAGCAATAATTTTGCAGTTACTTAGGGCTAACCCTAATAAAAAATTGTTTTTGGCATATGCCATAGTTTTTCAGTGTCTCTGGTGTTCGGGAGATTTAACAGTGTTGACTTATGACTTGCAACAGTGTTGACTTATGACTTGCAACAGTGTTGACTTATGACTTGCAACAGTGTTGACTTATGATTTGCAACAGTGTTGACTTATGACTTGCAACAGTGTTGACTTATGACTTGCAACAGTGTTGACTTATGACTTGCAACAGTGTTGACATGATTTGCAAAAAGAAAAGCGTTCGTAAGATTTTTAAGATTTAATGACTTGGAAGTTATTGTTTTTCAGCCTGGAGTCATGGAGTCATAGTTCAAAAAAGTCCTTGTTCTGCTTACCTAGGTCTTAGGTTTTTCCCAAATGTAGTCTATAAGTTTCTTTACATTTTTGGAGCTCTTGGATACCAAAAACCAGGAAGAAATAATCATTTTGAGATTTTTGAGTTGTGAATTCTTTTTGGCACTCCAATTTCTTGTTTTTATACAAAATAGAAGCACAAAAGTAAAAAAATAAATAAAAATGACATTCTCTAGCCGAGGCTATTGTATCATTGCACCTCAATTTTTTGTTATTAAACAAACTAATATTTTCATAATCATTTATTACTATGATATTTTATGAATACACCAGATTTTAAACAGTGGTTCAAAATCTGGTGTATTCATAAAATATCATAGTTATCAAAACCAGAGGAGTTAACAATTTATTACTAATTCAGAATTATAGAACAAGCATTATTTTACAGTTTTTTATCGTTTATAGGATATCCTATAGTAGGATAAAAAAGAATTATTTTTATTCCTGTTTTCTCTAATTTTTATTTGTTAAGTATTTAAATAGTTTATTAAACTGTTATTTAAAATGTTTAAATATTTACCTTTTTTATTTTAATTATTAAATATAAAATTTTATTACGTATTTATATCTGTATTTTATTAACAATATGCTTTTATTATATAGTTACTATATTTTAAGGTACTGGAGAGTCTGGAAAAAGCACATTTATTAAACAGATGAGAATTATTCATGGACAAGGTTATACAGAAGATGATCGACGCGGCTATACCAATCTTGTATTTTTAAATATATACCAAGCTATGCAAGCATTGACAAGAGCGATGAGAAATTTAAAAATTAGTTATAGTAACCCAGCCAATGAGGTTCTACATTATAACTATTATATTTTACAAATTTTACTTAAATTATATTTAGTTTTCAAATAAAGATTTTTTTTTTTTTTAGGAAAATGCCAGGTTAATTCTAGATGTTGATTTATCTGAAGATAAATCTCGAACAACAATAACATTAAGCCCACAGTATGCAAGTGCTATAGAATCTCTTTGGAAAGATAGTGGAATTCAAGAAGTATATGATAGAAGGAGAGAGTATCAGCTTTCTGATTCTGCGAAGTAGTAAGTTAATATTGATTTAACTGAGTTAAAATATTGGGTGTATTTTATTTAAAGGATTCTTAAGTGCTGAGACAAGTTATGTTTATTTTATGTATAAACATTAGAAAACAAGTTTAAGTTTATAAAAATTATCAAAACAAATTATTTATTGAGATAGTTGCAAAAAACATTTGTTTTGCCATTATACTTCCGGTTGAGAGATTAATAACTTCATGAATCAACATAGTTTTTCTCGTAAAAATATCTGGTTTAAATATAAATGTACTTGCTGGGAAGTATTTTTAACGATTTACACGATAGGGTTTTCTCCTATTATAAAAAAAGGTTCATGCTATGTTAAGCATTTTAGTTCAAAATAAAAGTTGTAATTAAACAAAGAATACAACTTTTCTGCTTTGTTTTATTTTCATTTCTATTTAAATATTTTGTTTTCATTTACCGTGAAATGGAATTTATTTTCGCTATTTCTAAAATTTACTAATATAAGATTTGCACATTTATATATCTTACATTTATAGCATTATATATCATACATTTATATTTGTTTTGTTTAAAAAAAAAATTAATGGAAGTTAAACTTTTAAAGCGTTTACTTTATTGATTGTGTTATTTTTATTCAATTATTATACATTTTGTAAAAGTTTATATATAAAAGCATTCTTCTACATTAAATTAATTGCAGAAGGGAAAATCCAAACATAATATTTATAATTTGAGTTCAAGTTTTAAAAAAAAACCTTTTTGTATTGGCGTCATTTTTTAATTACAATAGTAAGCTAATCAGACCAGCATTTAAAAAAAAAAACTTTTTGCCGAAACTTACTTTCAAGAAAAAGAAAGAAAAAGTTTTTCGCTAATATCTTTATAAATAATTTGTTTTGGAAAGTTTAATTAACATGAAAATTATTTTTAAGGATTATTTATGATATGAATACATTTTGTCTTGGTACTAAGGAATCATTTAAGTAATTAAAAATTGTTTAAGTAGGTAATTAAGAATATATTTATGCCTTAAATTAGTGGTTCAGGTATTGATAAGTTAAGGCAAGTTTTTAATTGAAGTCAAAACAATAAATAGCTTGGTATATTTTAATGAACATACAAATTGAACACAAAATTTTAGAGAAATCAAAGTAACGTTTTATAGTTAAGTAACAAAGAAATAAGATGTATAAGATCTATCCAACAAAAGTAGTCTGTTAATATATTTAATTGTTTTTAAAAATTTTTCATGTTCTTAACAAATTGTTTAAGTTATCTACCAATCGTCGTATTTTAAATTTAAATAAAAAGCATTTTATTATTCTTATTCTTTATTTTAAATAAGTTAAATCTTTTTATTTTTATTTTTTTTACTCCTTTTTTTAGAATTAAAGAACACTGCCACATGCTACATTATTAATCCATAATTTTTTGTTTGTCATAATAAAAATAAAAGTTCTTTTAGGTTCTTTTTTTATCTTTTAAGTAAAATGCCCTTCATATCTTTATGGTATCTTACCAAACTATATATATATATATATATATATATATATATATATATATATATATATATATATATATATATATATATATATATATATATATATATGTATATATATATATATATATATATATATATATATATATATATATATATATATATATATATATCAGGGGCTATTCTGGCATTTTTTTTTTTATTTTTTTTTTGTTCCACGAAAAAAACAGATTTTCTGCTAAAGTTCGCTGAAACAAGGGGGTACTGTCTCCCAAATTTTTTTCCTAGAATAGGCCCTAGAATAGGTTTTTTAATTTTAATTAGTATTTAAAGCAGAAAAAAGTGTATCGAGTTTTAAGAATGGCAACTTAAGCAAAAATAATTAGAGTTAGTAAACCAATATCTAGAAACTTTTCTTTATATCTAATAATTTGCTATATATTTGTGTTCGGTCGTGACCTCAGGGGCGGTGCTTCTTCATCCGCAAGTTACTTTGTATGCGTTGTTTGTGTTTAGTTTGCCAGAAACTTCTTATATGTTTGTTACACACTCGGTGTAGATAAGGCGATTTACAAAATATTTTAATACTTTTATTTGGAATTAGCATGATTTTGTCAGCATATTATGCCCAAACAAGATCTTAAAATGTTATAATTTTTTTTGCTTAAGGTTTTTATAATATTTGAAGAAACTTTTCTTTTTTATATATAATTTTTAAAATCTTTTTACAACCCGTAATAATGTATCTAAAGAACACTATTTTGGAGTCTTTAGATCAATTTCGCTTATCGACATTAATATGAATTTAGTTAAAATCTTTTTAAAAAGTTACTTAATTTACTACTGATCCTAATTCTAATCGGTTCTGACGTATATTAACTTTATATAGTTGTCAAAACACAATACTTCTATCAATTTTCACAAAAAATACTTGAATTCCGACCAAGAAAGAGCTTATAATTATAAATAATTGCCAATAAACAATCAGAACAGATCATATTATTAAACTATAATGTTCATTTCACCTAAAAAACGTATTAATTTAAAATCTTATTTAAATTTGGACAAGCGATTGTGATTTTAAGATGATTTAAAAAAAAAAAAAGATTCCACGGTCTGGGTTTTTTCGCTACAAACATTTATATTTTATTATACCGCAAAATTTATTATTTTAATTTTTTTTTGTCTTTTCATAATTCACAGACCAGACCATTTCACGGAAATATGTCATAATCAACAAAATATCATACAGACGCTATAATATTTTAAAAGTGTCTTAACTACACTGAGTAATTAGTTTTATTAACTTTAATGATTACAACTTCATTGAAAATGGGATTATTTTTGTAAGTCTTTGATTAAATCATAAAAATTGCTATAAAAGATACATTACGATATAAAACTTATACACAAAATTACATTACATAAAGAATACATACTTTTTAAATAAAAAATAAGAATATACTAAAAAAATCTATAATTTATAATAAACTTTCGAAATTTTGACAATTTAATAATATATATTTAAAACATTTATTTTTGTAAACAAATAGTATATATTCTTAAAACAATTTATGCTAGAAATCTCAAACGCGATTAATACATTTTAGCAGAATACTCTAGAACTTTATTTCGCTTTGTCAGCGTATTTTTTGAACCTATAGAATCAATTTGTTCGTTAATTTGGCAGATTTTTAGTGTTTGCGAATAATTTTATTCTTCCGCACAAAGATGTTTTGAGAACATTCAAGTTTTTTATATTTTCATGTATATCCGTAAAACAAAAAATTTTTATTTCGTACTTAAGATTAAATGTTCTAACGACTAAAAAACCTGGCCAGTTTTTTGCAACTAAATATAATTTCCGTGGTCAGTATTCGAAAGCGATTGCTCCTGCTTTCTGACCAAGCCTGATATATATATATATATATATATAGAGATATATATCAGATACATATACATATATAGATATATATATATATATATATATATATATATATATATATATATATATATATATATATATATATATATACATACATACATACATACATACATACATACATACATACAGTAGCATCCAAAAGTTTGCGGACATGCATAAAAAAATTAAATTTTACAAATATTTCAGCGCATTAATCACTTAAGCCAACATATTATATACCAATGAAAAGGTTTTCAGATTAACAATTATGTTTTGAACAAATTACGATTGTTTAATTAAAATTAAACAATCTTAATTTTATTCTTAAAAATATTAAACAATCATAGGTATAATATACGATCCTAAATACCGACTGCCTACCGTAAAACATGAAAAAGGTAATCTAATGGTTTAGTGATGATTTAGCTGGGATGGAGTTGATCCTCTTCATAGAATTATTGAGACTATAAATCAAGAAAAGTACAAAGATATATGTAAGACTACTATCATGCTGATTTATTCAATAAAACCAAGGAAATATGGGACTAAATACCCATTGATGTTTGGATTCATTTAGTTGACTCTGCCTCATAGATACCAAACCATTCTTGATTGTAAAGGATATCCTGCAAAAAGCTAATGTGATTTTGGTTTTATAAAAATATTGTTAAAAAATTTGTACTATTTAAAAAAGAAATTAAAAAAAAAAAGAGTGTGTGTGTGTGTGTATATATATATATATATATATATATATATATATATATATATATATATATATATATATATATATATATATATATATATATATATATATATATATACAGGCTTGGACAGGAATGGCGTGCGATCGAGCGCTATCGTTGACCACGCAAATGGTTTTATTTTTTGACAACTTGACCACGATTGTTTATATGTTTTGATGATTTAAACATTTCAGAAATCGCTGAATGTAGAAACGCAAAGCTAAACTTAAACTAGAAAAAAAAGTTTAAAAAAAAAACTATCAAAAAATAAACTCTTAACAAAAAAAGAAAAGAAAAAAAAATTATTACGAAAAAGTAATTATATAAGCACTAAATTAAAAAAATAATTTAACGAAGATCAAAAAACAAAATGTTTTTTAATCTTCGTTAAATTATTTTTTTATCAAAAAAATAATTTAACGAAGATATTTAGATAAAAAAACAAAATGTTTCGCTTTGATTTAAAAATTGAAGCGAAACATTTTGTTACATATTTAATTGAAATAAATGTTATTAAAACCTATTTTTTTAAAAGTTTTATTAAAGTTATGCAAAACGCTTTTAAATTAAGTAATAAATTACTTCTAATGATTGTTTAATAAATGATCAAGTTTATTAAAAAGTATTGTATATAATGTTGTATGTAATTTTTAGTAATTTCAAGCTTTAATTAGTAAGTTTAGTTAAAAATAAGGTTTAAACTTTTTTATGGGGGAAAAAAATAAATAACAAAATGCGCCTGCGATTTAAATAAAATAAACCACCAACAAGCAATTTAATTTGAGCATTACAACTTTATTAATAAGCACTTCACGTAACTAATTTAAAAGTTATTATAATTTTTTTCATTCATTCCTATCGTAATTTAAAAAAAAAAACTTTCAACAAATATAATTTATGTTTAAAAAATTTTTATTAATATTTTTTATTAATATTAGGTTTTTTGTATAACATTTTTTATTAATTAACATATGCGTTTATGTAAACAATCATCGTAATTAATTTTATGGTTTTATCTAAAGCCTCGCGTAAAATAAATACTTTGGAAAAGATCACCGATTAAGAGTTATTCATAACGTAAAACTTTCTTTTATTGCATTTAAATTGTTGAAACATCAAAATTGTTGTGGTCAAATTGTAAAGAAAAAGCAATATTAGCGTTTTATAGAAAAATAAAGCATACAGTATAATCTAATATTTAAAATTAAACAAGCGCTAATCACAACAGCCTAATAGAATTTAGCGACGATTAAATATTTTAAATAAAAGAAATTGTGACTACTTTATATCTTATTTAAATCTTATTCAATGTCAATATATATAAATATAAACGTCAATTAAATGTTTGTAACTCTAGTGCAGATATTTATATAAAACTACAGACAGAGGTGTTTAAAAAAATAGGAAATATTCTTTAAAACACTTATAGTTATTTTAAAATAAAGCAAAAAAATTCTAATAATCATCTTAAATCATATCTTTTTTGTTACTGTTTTTATTATCAATTAACTAATGTTTAATGTAACGCATTAAAATTTTTAAATAAACAACTCTTCAAACAGTGGTGTGCTGGCTCCAAAACGCTCATGCTGGATTTTTATAAAAAGGTCCATTTCAGCCTGATTTTACCATTATATATATATATATATATATATATATATATATATATATATATATATATATATATATATATATATATATATATATATATACATAAAAATAATTTTAACTGTAACCATATATATATATATAAATATATATACATTAAAAAAACATAATTTTAACTGTATACATATATATATATATATATATATATATATATATATATATTATATATATATATATATATATATATATATATATATATATATATATATATATATATATATACATAAAAATAATTTTTACAGTTAAAAATAATTTTAACTGTAACCGATTTAAAACTTTTCAAAATGCAATTGTTGCGACAGATCGAAATGTTTTGTTTTTAAAAAGAATGACCTTTTCAAACTAAAAATTAGTTTAAAAAAACAAAGTAACAAATTTACTTGAGGCTGAGCTTACAAACAGTGCTATGATTAGAGTGTCAGAGCCTTCCATTATTAGGTGTATTAATAAAAAAAAATCCTTCTTTTTTGAAAAAGGGTCCCCAAATTTGTAGGTCCTGCAAATTGTCTGGCGTGCCTCCATTCCAATTATTACAGTGTCTTTCCAAACACTCAGCAATTACCAGTTAATGTCAATTTTAAGATCCTTATATCTTCGATATTTCTTCTGCAAGAGAACCATAGCTTTGCTTAGTAATCTACAATAAAATTGCATGCCTCTCATATTAATTCTTTTTTTGTCTAAGTCAAAAGCGTGTATCTCAAAAAATAGATAACTCTTGAACTCCATTAGGCATTTGAAATAGGCCTCTCCATAAGACTTTGAAATAGGCCTCTTGATAAGACTAGGCCTCTCAATAAGACTTTTTTTATGAATGTGTTTTGAGATATAGTGAAAAATAATACAAATAAAAGTGATTAACTAATTGTCTTTAAAAAAAAAAAAATCCTACTAGGGCATCGTTTTTTATACTGAAACTCTCATTTAAAAGCGCTTAAATTTAATTATTCTGCTCTTTCATTAATTATAGCGCTTATAATTATATAGCACTTAAATTAAATTATTTTGTAGATAGCGACAAAAAAAACATTTATATTTTAAAAACTGACGAAAAAGGGGAAGACAAACTTTAGCTAAAACTACAGTTATTTTTTTTTTTCTTCATATATGTTTATTATTTTGCTTTCATCAAAAAAATTCAACCAAAACATTTTTTTTAAATATTCTCTTTTATATGAATAGTTTACTGTAGAAAATAAAAATGTTGACAGATTTGTACATACTTAGTCTAAGTTAGCTTATTTACAGTACTTTTTCACTCTTGGCATTTAAAGACCTGTCTTTTATTAAAAAATGTTGTCTAACTTAATTAAAATTTGATTGCAAATAGTCTGATGCAACTATATTTTGTTTTAGCATTTTGTCTAGGACATTATAAAAAAATAAATTGTGCCCTGATTATTGTTTTATAGATATCCATATAGTTATGTTTTATAGATATCCATATTTTAAATAATTAATTTGTATTTAATAAGTATTATATAATATAGTTTTATATTTAATAAATTTATGTTTTTAGTTACCTTAGCGATTTAAAACGTATATGTGCTCCTAATTTTGTGCCCACAATGCAAGATGTGTTGCGTGCAAGAGCTCCTACTACAGGGATTATTGAATACCCATTTGATTTGGATACAATAATTTTTAGGCAAGTTAATTCATTTTTAAAACTTATTTTGCAGTATTAAAACAAATAATGAAGTATAAAGTATATATGTATAAGTATATATCATCTATTACATGATTTGTTCCATTTCAAAAATCTTATACTTTTTTAATTGAAATGTAACCTTTGGAAAAACACATAATTTATAAACAACCTGATACTAAATAAACAACATAAAGTTGATTATTTAGTATCAGGTCAAGTTTAAGTATATATTTTAAATCAGTGGTCAAAATAAGTATCAGACATCAGTCTGAGGGGCATGTCTGCCCCATTTTTGAGACTTGCTAAAGGAGGACCAAAAATCATTTCATTTTTACTGAAATAATGGTTGGTTGTCCCCTTCAAACTGGTCTTAAAAACAGTCCAGGGGGTGCCGATGTCTGACATTTATTTCTACCCTTGTTTTAAATTAAGCAAGTTTAAATATATATTTTATTATTAGAGTTAAATATTTCCTGGAAATTTTCAACTTGGGAAAATTTCCGGAAAATTTGGAAATTTTCAAAAAAAGATAAGCTATTTTATAATTAATGGGTAAAGTTTTATGTCTTTTTTAGTCAGTTGTAATGGACAGTTTTATAGTAAAATATTGTAAAGTAGATTATAAAAATTTTAGAAAGCCCCCATTGAAAAATATTTTTTTTGAGTTTTTTTATTTTAACTTTTAACTTTAAGTAGCAGCTATGATAATTTGATTTCGAAATTTTCTAAAACTGTTTTATCCTGTTATTTGCCAAGCATATTCATGTTCATTGCTGAAGTGAGCTTTGTTTAAGACAACATATTTTCCACCCCCATCCCTAAATGGGATGGGGTATTTTTCAATATCTATAAAATTAGCCTACAAGTTACTGAAAACTGTAAAATTATATGTAAAATGATTTGATCGAATATTTACAGTATTTTACAATTTTTTCTTGATTTTAGGACATTGATTAATGAAAGGCAAAAAATTAAGAAAATTTTTTTTTGTGCTAAATTTGAACTATTTAAAAATATAGTTGGCAATAAAAATGAACAACTAATGATTTTTGCGACTATGTTCAAATAAGTGCTTGACTTAAAAAATGAAGAGGGTGAGGGTAAATTCGTAAAAAGTACAGACTGGTTTCTTAAAAATAAAAAAAAAGGTCTGTTAAAATTAAAAGTTTCCTAACTGAATTGTTTCAAATACTTGACTAACCGACTAAATTTGAAAATCACCTTCTTTGTGAGAGTAGAACCTTCCCCTGCACTCCCTCCACCTAAAATCATAAAAGTTAGAAATATGTTATACACAAGCTCAAAAGACAAGCTAACTCTGAAAACATTTACTTTTTGTTGTTTCACTAAAGTAATGTAAGTAAAAGGATATAACAAATTGAGCAATCGCTTTTTTTAAAAAATGTGCGATTTTTAAATTAACTATAAAAATGTGACTAAACGATGTGCATTTTCCACTTGAGGGTCTTAATTATTTTATATTTTTTGTTGAAATATTTAAAGAATACCCAAATCCTACGATGATAAAATGAATATTGTTTATTGCAATAAAAATTAAGTTATTGCAATAATTTTTTGTTGAAATTTAGCGAAAATTTTGTGCAAAATTTCCCGAAATTTTCAAACCTATTTATTATATTTCAAGCCTACAACTGGTGTATGCAATAATTAATAATTACTAAAACAAGTATTTGTAATCAGTAAAACCAAGATCATGACCATGCACATATAACTGTTTCTTGGCCTGACCATATATGAGAAAACCACTTATGCTGTGTGAAAGTGCAAACCCTCCAGATATTAGGAATACTAAACCTCAAATCATCCTAGAAATTTTAACTCTTTATACTTTTCGCCACTTTTTATACTTTAACAACAGACACTTTCACCTTTTCTTGTACACTCCACTGTTAATTTAAAAGTCATTTTTAAACTTATAAAGAAGAATACATTCTATTTGAAAAATTGCTGGTTTTTAATAATATTTTGTTTAAGTTTTATCTTTTTTTTAATAACATTTCTTTAAGTTTTACTGACAGAAGATTTTTGGGTTTCCTTTGCCATCATTAAGACACAAAGAACAAGAGCAAAATGTAGCATAAATTAGCATAAATTAGCTTCCGAAGCATAAATTAGCGTCGGAGTATCTTGCTTAAAGCAGCCTCAGAGTATCTTGCTTAAAGCTATGCAAAATATGGTATTCAGCTCAAATCAACAAAGTGAATTTTATTGTGGCTTTTTACAAAATTGCCAATGTTCTTGGTGTTTTACAGTTTTATTCTAGCTCTCATCCAGTGTATGAGTTGTGATGTTTGTTTCTAAGGAGATAGACAAATGTGGGTCACCTATACATTATACATCATAATGTGATTTAGTTAGTCAATATTATATTTTTGTGAAGGCAAAATTCTAAATTTAAAAAAAAATTTGGTTGTTAACTAGTGTCAAACCTTTAATAATTAAGAAGTTTGAGGTTTAAATTTACCTTACGCCACTAGAAATACTGAGCTCAATCTGTTTTTCTGCAAGCAGTCTTGTTTGAGCTTAAGAAAGTGTCTCAAATAAAATTTAAAAAGCAAAAAAAACAACAACAACAACAAGTAGTCTCGTGACAGTAGTGTAGTTTACTGCTCTAGACTCTCTGGACACTTGAAAAAATGAATTTAACAAATAAATAAAAGTTATACTTATTAATAATAAAAAGAAAGAAAGTTATAAAAATTTTCTAATAATATAAATTTTAATTAGATCAATTGTCCATTATCTAATTAGTTAATACAACAATGCTGGTCCACTAACTAGAAATATATAAAAATATATTATTTTTATCCAGTTGAAGTGAGTTTTAATGCATAGTGCGTTGGTGAAAGTAAAAAAGTTTTTTAAACATTCTATTTAGGGTTTACATAATTTTTAATAAAGATTTGGATTAAATTGTTTTGCAATAAATAAATGCTTTTGCTTTGTTGTTTTGTTTTTTTGTTTTGTTTTCATGTTGTTGTTTTTTTAATATGAATCTTTTTATTTTTTAATAAGCAAACCTATATAATTGTACAATTTTTCAATGAAATTAGGATGGTTGATGTTGGGGGTCAAAGATCTGAAAGGCGAAAATGGATTCATTGTTTTGAAAATGTTACATCAATCATGTTTTTAGTAGCTCTTAGTGAATATGACCAAGTATTATTTGAGTCACAGAGTGAGGTGAGTTGTTAAATTGCAAATAAAAAAACAAAACAGTTTTTAAGAGCTCAAAATGCTCAAATATTGTCGTTAACTACATTTAAAAAACTAAACCATTGCATTGCATATATTTTAGATGTTTGCCTCAAAACATATAAATATATACGAACAATTTCAAAATTAAAAAAAAAAAAAATAGTAGTTTTATAAAAAATGATTTTATGAACTTTACAGAATGTTGTTAAAAATGTTTTATTGTTAAGTAAACTATGAGAAATAAATTTTTGAAAAAATATGTTAGAAATGCTGTATTAATAAAGTTTAATGGAAAAATTGTGATGAATGGCTGCTTTTTATTTTGTTGTTGTTGTTTTATTTTTTATATATTTTATCTTTTTTGTTGAGTAAAAGTTTTATTTAGGTAAGTATTTTTTTTAAGAAGTAATTTAGCAAATTAAGTAAGCATTTAGGAAAAGTAAGAAAGAATTTGTACATACAGCATGAAATTTTTATTTAGCTTAGATTAAAAGAAATAATTTTTGTAATTGTTTACAACACGACAGAGTGATTTCTACAGTTTTAGGGCCCCCCACAAATGCTGTTGTAAGTTACCTCATACTTGCTAATAGAAAATAATCACTTTATTTTTAGTATCAACTTGTTTTTTTAATAGTTTTGATTAATAAAGTCAATAGCTTAAGGATTTTTTTTTATGTTAATTCAAGAAGCCAAGAAGGCCACTATTGTCGAGGAGGCTACTATAATTGTGGTTACAACCCTCTCTCAACTCTATAACTTCAAAACATAAACCTTGACAAACAAGGCTGCTGCGAGGAAAAATAAGTTAAGCGCGGTACTACCAGGGATGTGATAGTAATCAAACTTGGAACTTCTTGCTTATGAGGCAAGCGCTACTGCATACCATATCTAGTTAACAAAATAATGTTACTTACAGATGGACACATTGAATTAATATAAAACTTAGCAACTTTAAAAACTAATTACTTTGTCTTTAAAAATTAAATTACTTTGTCATTAAAAAAAAAAAAAAAAAAAAAAAATTTGACCCCTTGCTGGCCTAATGATATCAAATGATATAATTTTTTTTTTGCCAAAACATAACTTTAGTAGTGACCATTGTCCCCTATGAATTACCTATTCATACTTTATTCTTTTTTCATGCTTCCTGTCCCCGAACTTTCCAGTTGATGTATATACTCTAGTCATACTGAAATCTTTCAGTTGGTGTATATACTGAAATCCTTTAGTTGATGTATATACTTCTCTGTTACTGTTTTAGTATAGTTTTATACTAATAAAAACCTTTATCTGAGGTATAAAATATAAATCCTATACTTCATATTAAGGTTGGCATGTAACAAATATAAATAGTATGATATCATACTGAAATGCAGAGGCGTAGTATATACTGGAGTTTTAACAAGCTTTATCTCTAATATAGAAGACATTAATTTTTGTTGGTCTCGTGCTACTGGATCAATACTGTTTATTATTTTGTAGCATTATATCGTTTTACTCAGAATGTATCACTGTATAAGTGTTGGCAAGTTTAGTTGGTTGCATTGTAATAAATATCCTGTAAACTTGGTGATGCTTATTTGGCTTTCTGTTGAGATTTCTTAAATGTTTCAGTATCTTTTTTTAAGATATGCATTCTAGGCTGAAAAAGTTAATGGTTGAAATTTATAGTTTGCACAGATTTCTATTATATGAAAATTGCCTATAATTTATACCTATCAGAAAATAGTTTTTTTTACTATTATTATTTTCATTTCCGTCCAAAATTTTATGTTACTTCAGTAATATAACACGGCGATAACCTCTTCAAACTTTGTTTCACAAAACAACACAAAGTTTTTAATGAAACTGTAAAGATTATCGTCGTTCAAAATGTGATCGATGTAACAAAAGAATAGTTGCTCAGTTTTTAGTTTTCTAAAAAATATTTTAAAATTACTTAGGCGATTGTGAAGTGACTGTGACGATATTTCATATATTTTCTACAGTTCACTATCCTTAGAAAGAAAAAGGTTTTAGTATCCGAAGACGTTGTTATCCTAATGATCTGATAATCTATTTCCTTGGTTTTAAGCCATGAGTAATTTGAACATCAAAATTGCGTTCTGTTATCGTTGACTTGTTATAAAATCAGTACAGTTATAGTAAATTGAATATATACATGTAGTATTGACTTTTATGAACTGAAGTGTTAAAAAAAAATTTAATGTTATGTTTAATAATTAATGTCAACACATTGTCGCATTACTATGCGCTTTTAGTATCATCTGGATACATTTTACATAAAGTTTTTCTTGAAAATAATTATTGAACATAGAAAAAATGGTGGCTCCAATGTTAAGCCTTGGGAAATACCTAAATATTTATACTTATTCGTAGTAAAAGAACTTTAAATTTAGGGGAAAATGTCTGTAAAAAAAAATATTTTTTGTGCTTAATAAACGGGCGCTGACATTTTGTACCTCCGAGTTAAGTCCTAATATTTTAACAAATATATTTTGAAAAAGTTTAAAATTGCTTGTTTTTTTAGAATCGCATGGATGAAAGCAAAGCACTATTTAAAACAATCATTACATATCCTTGGTTTCTTCAATCGTCTATAATACTTTTTTTAAACAAAACCGATTTGTTAGAAGAGAAGATACAGAAATCAGATCTTCAAACATATTTCCCAGAATATGATGGTAAAATTATGACGTACTTTTAATGTCAGAAGTATTTTTAAAGTTTTAATTTAAAGGAAATATTATAATTAAGTGTTTTATTTTTAGAAATTTTATATCTATATTTATAAATATTTATTAAACACTGTCATAAATATTTTCTATATTTATTATATATATATATATATATATATTTTTTTTTTTTCTTTAAGGTGCAAAAGGAGACGCAAAAGCAGCGAAAGAGTTTATACTTAAAATGTTTGTCGATTTGAATCCTGACACAGACAAGATAATTTATTCGCATTTTACGTGCGCTACGGACACTGAGAACATTCGATTTGTATTCGCTGCAGTTAGGGATACCATCTTGCAATTAAATCTTAAAGAATATAATCTTGTGTAAGCAGAATAATTTAACTGTATACTACTATAGCGTAGCACTTTACAATTATAAATAAACAAGATGCATCCGCTACACGCAGCTTGTGTTGATGACATGTATTATTGGAAAAAATGTAAAAACCCGACATCTTCGCTTTTCATAAAAGTTCCTAATGACAAAATCTCTCTGGAATTGTGTTATTTTATTTAATATGCACGCGTTTAATTGTTTTAAAGGGAATAATTCTTGATAAAACTCGTTATAAGTTTTTCTCGATCTTGTTTACTTCTGAGTGCTTAATGGAAATAATAGTGCAGTTAATGTTCTCAATGTTCAGTTTTTTTCATCGGCTTAAAATTATTCTGAATTTTGAATTTGCTCGTTTTGTTCTATACAAAAGTCATGAATGGTATTAATTGTGGTTCATACTTCCCCCTTATTAACCATATTTTTCGCTTTCAATGTTTTTTTAGACTTATTCCCATAAAAAAATACTAGTTGGCGAATATTTGAAGAGAGAAAGAAGTTTGGCAACAAATTTACATTCAGTTTTCTAGAAATAATAAATTCATTTTATTTTGCAAAGTTGGATGCGTGGATTTGCTGTTTTTTCAAAATATCATGTTTAAATATGTTCGACGAAACATCTTTAAATCGGGTTATATGACGCATTAACATTTTTATATATTTGTTTTATTGTATTTTTTTAAGAAAACACAGGTTTTTAACGAATCACAGGTTTTCAAATCGAAAATGAGGGCGATTTTTTTTAAAATCTTGTCAATTATAAGTTTTTTAAGTTTCATTAATTTTAACGGAATTCCAATACATTTGTAGATGTGTACAATTTTTGTTTGCTAACTATTAGAAAAATTTAATAGCGACAGTTATAAGATTTTTGTTTATCGTAAACATTTTTTTAGCCAATTAAGTATTAGTTTTGATTTCATTTATTTTAACGTCGGAGACGCAGCTAGGTAATGGCAGATTAATAGGTAATATCAAATAGTAATATTTTTTTTCTTTTTGATAATAATGCTTTATATCTTACGTTTAAAAATACGTTTTTTAAGGTCCGTATTAGAGCATGTGTAAGGTGATAAATCCGAAATGTTTTCCCATTTATCTATAGGCTATTAACTTTCCATATTATCATGGATAAATTAATGCCTCTAAAACAGCATGATAATTATACTATTTTTCTACGTATTGTTGTCATGTTGCTTTTAAAAATTTCAATACTATAAACCCGATGAACTTAATTTAAACGTTTTTTGAGATATTTTTGCCCTTCACTATGGACAATAATTGAAATTAAATAAAAATGCATATAGGGGATTATTCATAATGAAAACTCATATTGATATTTAAGTGAAAGGATTCTATATAATTTTGATTTAATTAGTCATTCAAAGTTACCCAGTACCTTAGGTAATTATGAAAAAATTTTCCTGTAAAAGCAGAACTTTTTTAAAAATATTGTTTTGTTTTTAAAATTTAATAAAAACAGTTCTGGATCACAAATTTATTATTACTAAAATAAAATTATTTCATAACCAATACCTATTTGATTTTTTTTTTGTCGTTGTTTGTCTTAATGGGTATGTTATATAACAACCAGCATAAAAAGAGTCTCAATTACATCAGTTTCACTTACAGAAGTAGATAGAAGTAAAACATCTTTAAATTTTGCTAGAAAATCCTCAAAAGAAACTGTTTCCATGGTCAAAAGCAATTTTTGTTTTTTTTCCGATATTTATTTCTATACAAAATTGAAAATATATTAGTATATATATATATATATATATATATATATATATATATATATATATATATATATATATATATTATGTGTGTGTGTGTGTGTGTGTGTGTGCATATATATATATATATATATATATATATATATATTAGATAAAATTATATTAAAATTTATTAGAACTGTGGTACATGTTCTAAAGGACACGCAGCACCTTAAAATATCAAAGATTCTGACAGCGTGCCCTACAATCTCATAATACATATGCTAGATATTTTAAAATATGTATTACAATTATATATAAGACCTCAGTTATAAAACAAAAACCAGTTAGCCAGAACAGTATTTTTCAAAATCGATAGAGTTAATTTTGAAGCTCTTATATTTTTTTTTATTTATATTTTTGGCGTTCAAGACGTCAGACGGCAAGTTATTCCAAATATTGACAACCCTGGGTGAGAAAGAGTATTTACGGACATCCAGTTTACATTTTTTTTTTGAAATTATGTCCTCGAGTGTAAATATACTTGTTAAATAAAAAGAAACTTGATTTATTTAGGTAAACTAAATTGTTCAGAATTTTGTAACATATAATTATGTCTTGCAAGGCGACGAATTTCTAGTAGTTTCAAACCAAGAATTCTAAGTCTATTTGAATATGAAAAGTTATTTAGGTTAGCAATTCTCTTGGTAAAACGTAAAATTGGTAAACGAAACTCAACTTGCAATACCTGTGGAAAAAAGGACACTGGGCAGCTGTCTGCTTAAGTAACAAACTAAATCAAAACAACAGCATAAAACCAAAATATCCAAATAAAACACCAATAAAGGGTGCGACAACAAACTATGAGTGCAATAATGACATCAACCAAGATAACTTTCCACATACGGCCACGATCTTAGCCTCAATAAATCAAAAATCAGGTCTGATAAATACAATAGTCAGCGGAATACCAGTACAAGCCCTTATCGACACAGGCTCTGACCTATCATTTATCTCTCTAAATTCTATGTCTGAGAACAATTTTAACTTTAACACAAATATCATGAAATCAATCTGTCTTGCAGATAATTCACCCGCACAAATTATTGGCCAATATGACAGTACCTTAATAATAGGGAACCACTTATATTCAACTTAACTCTTTGTACTAAAACAGCTTGTATCACCTCTTATTATCGGTATAAATATTTTAAATAAATACTCAGCTTTAACATTTCATTTTGGAGGAAACCGTGAACCAATTTAATTCTGCCTTGCCCTATCTTCTATGAAATGTAAATTGTATGAACTTATTCCTGGAGTCAACACATCCCAACTCACTCCAATTGCAACATCTTCACGACGACACAATCTGAATACAGACTTTATTAATAGTGAAATTACTCGGCTCTTAAATGATGATGTTATTCAAATCATTCAAAGCTCCTGGAGACCCCAATGCTTTGTAACAAACCTGTCAAAAAAACCTCGTCTAGTAATCAACTTCTCCAAAACCGTAAATATACATACTCCTCTGGATTCTTACCTCTGTCCTAGAATAGATGACCAACTAAATAAAGTAGCTATAAACAGTATATTCAGTAAAATAGATCTAAAAAATGCTTACCACCAAATTCCACTAAAAAAGAGAGATTATTCTTTGACTGCCTTCGAAGCTAATGGAAAGCTGTATGAATTTAAAAAAACTTCTATTTGGATGCACAAATGCAGTAGCCATCTTTCAATGCATCATGGATGATTTTGTCTTAAAATACCAACTACAAAAAACTTACCCTTATTTAGATGACGTTATTATAGGTGGATCTAATCAAGAAGAACACGACAAAAACCTCTCAGCATTTAAAATAGCAGCAAACGATTTTGGAATGAAAATAAACAAGGAAAAGTGTAAGTTTTCTCAAACCTCACTCTGTTTTCTTGGACACCTAAAAGAAAACAGAACGTTAAAACCAGATCTCAAAAAGTTCCAGGCCTTACAACATTATCATATTTCAACTAACATTAAACAATTAAACAGCTTGATAGGCTTCGAAGTCTATCAGGGTTAGTTGGCGCAGTTAGGGATCAATTTAGCATAGTATGCAAAGAATTCTTTGCATACTATGCTAAATGGATCCCTAACTGCACCAAATTGTCTACCATTCTGACTAATTTTCGTGACTCAATAAGTAAAAATATCCCTCTTTCAGAGGAAGCTACCACTGCCATTAAACAACTAAAAGACCAACTAACCACAGCGTCTTGAGCGATACCTTACCCAAATATTACACTCAAAATCAAAACTGACGCTTCTCAAATTTTTTTTTTTAATTTGTTATTCAGGTGCCCCAAGAAGTCCTAACGGTCTTGTCACATAACACCGCGGAAGTGCATTTATCCCGAAAGTTCATGCCTCCTTCCTTACCGTGACGCAAAATATATCCAAAGCTCGCTTCGAACCTGGATCTCCTGCTTATAAAGCAAGCGCTCTAACCACTGCGCCACGGTCGCACACTATTGGTGGGACACTAAGTCAAGAAGGAAGACCTATTGCATTCTTCTCCAGAGCCCTATCAAGGCCTGAAAGCCGCCAATCTGTCATAGAACGAGAAGCAATGGCTATTATGGAATGTTGTCGTCGATGGAGACACCTACTATTTTCCGCTCCGAAATTCGATATTTTAACCGATCAAAAAGTTGTTGTCTTCCTTTTTAATCCAGGACAAATTTCTAAAGTAAAAAGTGATGAACTTACATGATGGCGATTAGAACTATCTGAGTATCGGTTCAATGTTTCATATAGATCTGGACCAGAAAATATTGCAGCTGATGCACTCTCTAGATGTTTAGCCATAAATACCAATCTTAGTACACTACGACAACTACATATCAAACTATGCCACCCAGGAGTAACACGATTGAACCACTACTGCAAGACACGGAATTTACCCTACACTATCGGTGAAATAAGAGACATAATTTCTGACTGTCAGTTATGCTGTAAGCTCATACCTAAGTTTTTTCAACCCCCGCCTGGTCAACTGATCTCCTCTACTAGACTATGGGAAATACTCGCTATGGATTTTGTTGGCCCTCTTCCCTCAAAAACAGCAAACAAATACCTTTTAGTCATAATTTACTCCCAAATCACCTCTGATATAGTAATAAAATATCTTTTAGAAATATTTTCTCTATTTGGCACCTTTGACTGCATTCACTCCGATCGTGGTACTCAGTTTGAAGTATGAAAACTAAGAAACTTTCTTATAGGTAACGGTGTTAGCAAGACACGAACAACACCATATCGACCACATGGAAATGAGCAATGTGAAAGACTAAACTCTACAATCATGAAAACAATAAACTTAGCTTTACGAAGTTTTGAACTAGAAAAAATTGACTGGGAACTGGTACTCCCTGCAGCTCTATCCTCTATTCGATCCCTACTATACATTTCAAAAAATTCTAGTCCACACAACAGCTTAATGGGTTTCAAATGCTCAACTATTACTGGTGTTGATCTACCTGACTTCCTAGTAGAATCAGGTAGTACTGTTCTACATAAAAATCACCTTCGATTGAAAGAAGATCCATTAGTAGAACCAGTCACTTTGCTTGAAACTGTATCACCACACTATGCACGTATAAAATATATGAATGGCAGAATTGATACTTATCAACATGACATCTAGCACCATGCACACTCCCCACATTAAAGAAATAATCCAACCACCCGAAACCTTTGAGACATCAATTTTACCCAAAGAAGACAGATCAACAACTACAAACGCTAGCAATAACTTTGAAACCAATGAAAGTATCCTGATATTACCAACTGATTGCCATCTTTTGTCTGCCACTAATGATTTACCTTCTCCAAATTAAACGACTACTACTACCAATACTACACCATCGATAACTCAATATCCTGACGTCACTACTACCCAAAACTTACTAGTTAAAACTAACCATCCACATTGTATTAGTAGACCACTCTCAAAGCTTAATTTGTTACAAAATAATAAAACTATATATAAATATCTATTGGAAGGGCGGAAGACTGTGATATTGTGTTATTGCAGTATTGCGTTATTATATTTATATTATGTATATTGTGTTTCTTTATATTTTAGATAATATAATAAAAACCTTACTACTGAATTACTTGTATTAGTCTTGATCGGGTCTACAATAATAATTATAATTTATACAATACAATAATTGTACTTTATATCTTTACAAAATGAAATAGGTGCTACTCTATCTGTAAAGCACTTATTATTGACTACTTTTAACTGCCGTTTTTTGACAAGAGATAAACTTTATAAATGGCTACAGCAAGATCGTGACTGTAATCGGCATCCTTAAATGAATTATATAGCTTAATATCGTCAGCATATAACATTAGAGAGCAATTAAGATCTTTTACTATAGAGGGTAGATCATTAATATATAAAAAGAATAAAGTTGGACCTAAAACGCTACCCTGTGGAACTCCACTTAGGATGCTGGTCGAATTGGATAGTGAATTTCCAACCAGAACCCTTTGATATCGGTTAGAAAGAAATGCTGATATCCAATGAAGCAGATTATCTACTATGCCATACATTGCAAGTTTTTTCAAAAGTTCTGGATGAGGTACAGAGTCAAATGCTTTTTGAAAATCAATGTACACCACGTCAGTAATTAAATTGCTGTCTGAAGTTTTATTCCAGTCATTAATTGACTCTAGAAGATTTGTGCACTTAGATCTTTTGGATAAAAAACCATTTCTTGTGTTATTGTAAAGTTACAATAACACAAGAAATGATTAAGTATTTATATCATCTTAAATTGTCTCTAGTTATGAATATTTTATTTAAAATGTTTATTAAAAAAATTATTTAAACTTAAATTTAATTTTAAATTAATTTTTTCATTTTTAAATAAAAGTTTAAAAATGATAAAATTTCAGCATATATTAAAACCCGTGCTTTACTCGGAGTTTCAGCACAAGCTATAGCTAATGAAATGGTCTTAGTTCATAAAGACCAAGCACTAAATTATAGTACAGTTGCCAAGTAGGCTATTTTATTTAAAGATGGTAAAGAGATTCTCTAAGATGATCTTCGCTCAGAGCGTCCTCAAACCACGTATACCGCTGAGAATATTGAACGTGTAATAACCAATATTGAAGAAAATCCTCATGCAACACATGATTGAAGCCCTGACATCGATTAATTGTTTTACGGTCAACGAAATCATTCACAACACTCTTGAAAAAAGAAAACTAACATCGTGTTAGATACCCCACAAGTTATCTGATCAAAATCGCAAGAATAGAGTTAAGGCATGTAAGAAAAATTAAACCTTTTTCGGGAATCATCCATGGAGACTATATGATATTATTACAGGAGATGAATTTTGGTTTTATTTGGTTATATTTGTGCGTCGCTTCAATATAAAATGAGGAAATAGGCTTATAAATAAAGAAGCATTCCACATATTGAGCCAATTTCTTCACAAAACATTGATTTTTTGTTTATATTTCTATATCTAAAAGTCCGGATATTTTTATTAAAAAAAACAGCAGGCACCAGTATTTTATAGTTTTACAAACTATATCATTAACACGATTTAATAATAAACAATATATTTGAATATAAACTTATTAAAAGAAAATTCCTTGTATAATTTATCATCGTATAAAATTATAAGCCAATCACGTGTTAGAAGCAAGGGAGGCGGCGTTGCAATCTATATTCTTGACAAATTCATATTTAAACCAAAAAATATTTTCTGTAAAGTAAATAAACATATTGAAACTTTGTGTATAGAAATTTTAAATAAAACTGGTAAACCTTTTTTAATCTCCTCGTTTTATCGACCGCCATGCGGTATGCAAATTAATTTTCATAAAAGCCTTAGAAGCATTATATCGAAAATGAGTATACAAAACAAGCATATTTTTTTTGCCGGTGATTTAAACTTGGATGCCATGTGATACGAAAAGTTTGTAAATACAAAAAACTTTTTTAATTCATTGTTTGAATTTAATATTATACCAACCGTATTTAAGCCTACGCGTATTACAAAAACTACTTCGTCAGCAATTGATAATATTTTAACTAATAGCGTTTTAGGTACAAGTTTTGAATCCGGTATTTTTATTGCAGATTTTTCAGATCATTTTCCTTTCTTTCATGTTGCGCACGGAGTTTTGTCTAATAACGACAATAAAAAAATATCAGTTACGAAAAGAAATCTATGTTTTAAAAATCTAGATAAACTTAAAAAGAAGCTGCACGAAGAGAAATGGGAGAATGTCTACTCCTCTGCAGACCCCAATAGCGCGTTTGATAATTTCGCGAATATTTTTCAAAATATTCATGACAATGTCTGCCCAAAATTAGTCAGTGAAATAAAAAACAAACAACTTAAAAATCCATGGATGACCAATAATTTGGTTAAATCATCAAAAAGAAAACAAAAGCTCTACATAAAATTTCTGAAATCTAAAAATTGAAAATGACGAAATTGCGTACAAAACATATAAAAAGTTTTTCCAAAATAGTGTGAAACAAGCAAAAGTTTATTACTATTCTAATCAGCTCGATAAAAATAAATTTGATATTAAGAAAACTTGGTCTATTATAAATGAAGTAACTGGAAGAGAGAAAAAGAAGCTCTTGCTTGCCACAAAAAGTAATTATTAACAACAAAATTATATCTAGTGAAAAACAAATATGTCAAAAATTTAACAAATACTTTGTTAATGTAGGCGCCTCTCTTGCATCTAACATTGTTCAGTCAACTAGAAAGTTTGATGAATACTTGGGAGAGAAACCCAGGACCAGCATATGTAATGAAAAAATAAATAAACTTGAATTTAACAAAGCGCTATTTGAACTAAAGCGTAACAAATCATGTGGATATGATGACATTACCAGTAATGTAGCTATCTATGTTATGGATAGTATAAGGAAACCATTAGTTTATTTAATAGCATTTTCATTTGAGAATAGTATATTTCCTGATAAATTAAAATCAGCCAAAATTCACCCAGTTTTTTAAAAAAGCGACAATTCTTCTATTTGCAATTACCGTCCTATATCACTACTCCCTGTCTTTTCAAAAATCTTTGAAAGAATTATTTATAATAGAATTTATAATTACATAACAATAAATACGCTTTTATACAAAAATTCATTTGGATTTCAGAAATACTGCTCTACTGAACATGCTATTATTGAACTAGCTAATAAAATATCTATGTCTTTTGATAAAGGTGAACTTGTATTAGGAGTCTTCATCGATCTCTCTAAGGCATTCGACACTGTGGATCACGTAATATTACTTTCAAAGTTAAAACATTACGGTATTAAAGGCTTAATGTATAAGTGGGTAAAAAATTATCTTTTTAATAGAAAACAGTATGTTGTCCTGGAGGAGTCAGAAGCTCTTGATATTGTATGCGGAGCCCCTCAGGGGTCAATCTTAGGGCCTTTATTATTTTTGATATATATTAATGATATGAATAAAGCTTCTCATAAAATATCGTCAATTATGTATGCGGACAATACAAATTTATTCTTTAACCACTCCGATGTAAAAATATTATTCGATACAATGAACACTGAATTGGAAAGTTTTAACCAATGGTTTAAAGCTAATAAATTATCATTAAATTGTGAAAAGACAAGTTTTACTCTCTTCCATAAAATAAGACGATCGATTAATCTTCCGTTAAGGCTTCCAAAACTGGAAATTAATAAAAATGAAATAAATCGAGTAAATCATACAAAGTTTTCGGGAGTTTTATTCGATGAGAACCTGTCATGGAAAAACCATATTAGTCTCGTTGAAACAAAAATATCCTCTGCTATTAGTGCGATATATAAATCTAGAGCCTTTCTTGATTATAAATCGCTTAAAATGCTTTATTTCAGTCTTGTTCATTGTCATCTCTTCTACGCTAATATTGTTTGGGCAAACACACACAAAACTAAATTAATAAGATTACAGAGTATACAAAACCACGCATGTAGAGCAATTAACTATTTAAACAGATTAGAAAATCCTTCCCCTATAGTGAAATACATTAGTGTACTAAATATATCAAAACTTAATTCCCTTCAAATATTAATTTTTATGTATAAATATAAGAATAACCTGCTGCCAAAAGTATTTTCTAATATTTTTACATCAGCTGTTTCCCAAAAATACAATCTCCGGTCAAATACTAATCATAACTATCACTTGAGTAGAGTAAAATCACAACTGTCAAAATTTTCAATTATAATCCAAGGCCCGTCATTATGGAATCAATTAGAAAATAACAGTTTAAAAAACCTGAAAAGCACTTTCTCTTTTAAACGACAAATAAAATTGCATCTCCTAAATCTCTGAAACACATGTATATATATTTATTTACTTATTTATCTTATATATATTAACTATATATATTTGACATGCTTCTGCGTGTTTATTTTTAATCTTCGTTTGGCTGAAATTTTTTATCGTTTATATTTGTAACGGAGTTTTTAATTTATGTTTTTTACGTAATATATCTTATTGTAAACTTTTTAAAGATATTTGGCTTTAAATATTATTGTTAAAGGGGCTTTATGAAAAGATTGTGGTGACACCAGTCATCCAGATCTTCTTTGAGCTCTGTCTGTTTATATACATACACTTTGTTTAACGTAAAATTTTCTTTGTAATTTTATTATTTGATTATTATATGAACAGCGAAATATATATTAAAAAAAAAGTATAAACAAATATGCTACCATTTGATTTTTCGCTCTTTAGTTTCTTACAAAGTCTCTTAACGTTCTAATAGATGTTTTTAATAACTTGTGGCTATAAAAATAGTTGTTTTTTTAAAAATCCAACGTTGAACAACTTATCAGTATAACAATTTAGTTTATAATAGAGATCTTTTTAGATTATTTAATTAATAGTTAAAATTTATGAAATTATTTCTTAATTTTTTTTTTTAAAACAATAAACAACACAACTTTGAATTATTATAATAAAGTTAAGATTTCTATACAAAAAAAAAAAATTAACAAAAATACTCCATCAAAAATAGTCAAAACAATTAACAATAGTATAACACTCAAAAAAACACTCAATAGAGGTACATATCAAATGTCACAGACAAATAAATAGCTGTAGCCCTAATGTTTTCTGCTAAGTAAGTTAGACGTGCATGACTAACTCGTGCAATTTTACTTGTTTCTGGTTTTCTTTAGTTTGTTGATTTTTAACCAAAAAATGTTTTATATTTAGTTAGAAACAACTTTTTTCTTTTTCCACAAACTTTTATTAAATAAAAAGCCAGGCTTTCAAATATATTAAAATTCACTGTGCAACCAGCATAAACTGATAAAAACATAGACTGCAAAAATATAGCACATGTAAATACATTTTTACTTGTAAAAGTATGCCTTAAAAAACGCCTTGTGAAAATATGCCTTGAAGGAAAATCATCAAACAAAAGTTTGTTGAAATTGAAAGTAACCATTTTAAAACAATAAACTACGCTTAACTTAGAAGCTATAACTTAAAGACTAGGAACAAATGTTCCGCCTCTCATACAGTTTTGCTTTATATACTTATTAACTAACCGGTTTTTAATACTTTCACTTCTTTTTAATAATTTCACTTCTAAAAAGTCTATTTATTGCAGAAAGTTTATAACAAGTAAAAAGCTGGCTACCTCTGTCGTAACATGGTCCAATCTATCTATATATACAAACTATTGTATGTAATATAAAGATTTAGGAAAACCCGGCTTTTTTTACCGCTGAAAATCCCGCACTTAAATACGCAAATTTAAAAAAACTTGAATTAAACATTTTTTTATCATTTAATGCTAACTTCTTTTAGTTAAAAAATATTTAAAATATTAAAGTTCAAAAATTTTGTCAGAAAAGTAAATAAAATATTATTTCCGCATTTGCGACGCGTTGTGCGCCGGTGAAGGGGAAAGTACTATTGTAAGATGCGACAGATTTGAGCCAAAAAAAAATGTTCTACGTGGTCTTCAAAATAAAAAGTGTTATTCATTTGGATTATGTTGAAAAGAGAGACACCATTATTAGTTGATATTATATAACAAATTGTTTGAAATCTCTTGTTTGTTTTTTTTTAGTTTGATTAAGGTGCCCCAAGAAGTCTTTACGGTCTTATCACAGAGCAACGCGGAAGAGAATTTAATAGGAAGTTCACGCCTTCTTCCCAACCGATATCGCAAAACTTGCCCAGAGGTGGGGTTTGAACCACGGATCTTATCTTTCTGAGGCAAGTGCGCTACCACTGCGCCACGGCTGCTTGAATGCTTCTTATATGCGAAACGTTATATGTCCCTTATATGTGAAACCTCTTATATGCGAAACAAATATGCAAAGACCTAAAACAGGCACTCAAAACTTTATATTTCTCTATGATAAAGCTCAACCTTATGTAACTTAAACCGTCACAAATTGTCTTAACCTAGCTAGAACCACAATAATTCGCCACCCGCCCTTACTCACCAGACTTAGCTCCGTCCGATTATTGGCTAAACAAAAAAACGTTTGACAACTCGCGTTTTTACATCCTTTTGAACGTTTGAAAGGATGCAAATTTGTATAGATAATGATTGAAGTTATTTTCAACATTTTTTTTTATTATTATTATTTAATAATTTTTCTTCTCCAGGTATACCATATAAAATATACATTTATTATCGTGAAAAAAAGAAAATATATATACAAAATTATTACGTATCAGATTGATAAAAATACATTAATATAATATTGTTACATTAATATAGTATTGATGCAAATTTTAATATAAATTCTGGTAAAATAACTATTATACATATTTATTTTTTTGATACGTTAATACCTAAAAAAAGGAAATCAAAGAAGATTCTGCATTTTTGGGTATAAAACTCCAAAAAAAGCTTTTTGCAGATTCCCTTACCAGCGCCTTTTAAGTAAATTTAGAGATTATTTTGTAATTAGCTTTATAATTACTATTTCTACTGTCATTATATATATATTTTTTTCTCTTTTAATAAATACTTTTTATAATTTTTTTTTTTAATTTATTGCAATAGCTTTTACAAACTAAGAATATGCAGCTTTGTTTGCCATTTAAACAACGATATTCCATTTAAGTCTTTTAGTTTTTGATTTTTCAAGTTTTTCCATATTTTGGGACACTGTGACATAATTGAAAATTCAGAACCCCGGGTTTTAGTTTTTTAAATTTATAGTTATGAAATATTTATAATTTTGAGAAAATGGTGACAAAACTATGTCTAAAAAAGAATTTGGTAGCATATTATTTTTACATTTGAACATAAAAATAAGTATCTCATATAAATTAAGTTTTTCCTAGTTTAAGACTTATACTAAAATATTCATGTGTATTACTGACTGTATATTGTTTAACCACTTTTTACTATATATAAAAATAAAATAGACTTTATTTAACCATTTAAAGAGGTACTCGATGATAAGTCTTCATAGACTCCTACGAGTTTTCCTTTACAACAACATGTATATATCTGAAGTACCAAAAAATTTCTTGTCTTATTTTTATTCTTTTCTTTTTTTTTTTAAATACTGGTAATTTTTATGATAAGAAACACTATTAATTTACGCTATACTTAGTTATACTTGTTAAACCAATTTTTATTATGCTATGTTATACATGGTATTATTATCTTATATTTTTACGTGGGATTATATTATGTCATTAGTTATAACGTAACGATGTTACACATCGTTACAAATTTATTAAAGTTGTAAAAAAAAAAAAAAAAAGACTTTCATATTTGTCATCGCATTAGAAGGATTGTCCATTTTACCTAGATAATAAACATTTAATAAAATAGAATTAAATTAGCTTTTTTACTTTTAACATAAGTAAAAAAGCTTTTTTAAGCACTCCATCTACTAAGGTCGTTAGGAAAGTTTAACAAACTTTCCTAACGAAAATTCCTTAAAAGATGGAATGAGAACGAAGTAAAAAATAGCGTCGCTTTTCAAGGAACAGTGTTAGTACTACTAGTAATAGTGGTACGACTATTAACTTAGTAGTGGCATAACTTTGAATTAAAATAGCGTATGCGAGATAGGGGCAGTGAGTCAATTATAAAAGTAAGGAGACACTAACTTTAAAAAAGTATATACTGTTGGGTATAAACTGTTGGGTAGGTAGGTTAAAAGCATAGTTACGTTTAGGGAGGTGGAGGGTACTTAAAAAAGCGTATGGCAAAGTGTTGAGTGTGTGTGTATGTGTGTGTGTGTGTGGGGGGGGGGGGGTAGGGGTAGGGGGGTAGGTCGAAATAAAGCGTACGTACTTTATTGACAAAACCTAAGAGATCGTTCATAAATTACGCAACTATAAGTTTATTTTAAAAACACTTATTTCGTCGCGTTGGTTTGACAAGGTTCTAACTGATTTTTTAACATTAGGGATCGTCCACAAATTATATATATTTTCTTGGTTTACGTTTGTTAATCGTGGTGCAGCTTTAAATAACCAATAGTAAAAATAATAATACAAACTTACAATGATAGAAAATATAACAAATATAAACAAGGTATCTGAAAGAAGATCGCAAGGATCTTGCCGTCAGAACCTTAAATAAGCATTTAACAAAGATAAGATTAAAAAAAAAATTAATAAACTTTTACAAAATTGCAAGGTAAATAATCTGTTTCAGAAGAAAGATCAAGAGGATCTTCTCATCAGACTTTTATACAAGAGTAAATCAACATATAAATTAAAAAGTAAAAAGAAATAGGAATGAACTTCTATAAACGTAAATATCTTATAAACAATAGACCAAAACATATTTTTAACTTTTACTACTAATAATAACTCAATATATAACCTAATGAAAGAATGAGGTTTTTCAGTTTTTTTTAAAAAGAAAATAGTTAGAGCTAATTAAAATTTGGCAAAACAATTTTATTCCAAAGGTGTGGCGCTCGATAGGTAATACAAAATTGAATAAAGTTTATTTGACAAATAGATTTAATTAAAAAGTTATTATTTCTCAAAATATATTTACTGATTGGTTTAAAAGAGAAAAGATCTTTGAAAACGGCTCGAGATAAGTTATTTATCCAAATATATATTACGTAATGTGACGTAATTTGTCGACGATTTTTTTTTTTTTGAGTTTACAAAGTTAGTCGTTTTACAAAAAAAATAAACTATTAAAGTTACTTTACAAATATATACATATAAAAATCGTGATAAAAGTGTAAACTAATAGATAATTTTAATAGATAGTTGTAACTCTTTAGTAACAAGTTCCTCACAAAAACATTACATATCAACGCCCCCCTACCTCTAAAGCACTACGCAATTTATGGTGATTTATGGATTGTCTTGGGTATACATAGAACTCAAATTATAATGAATAGTCTTGCTAGTATTTGTGTTATCTTTTCACTTACATATATTGCTCTGTTATAAAATTGTTATTTCGATATCATTTATTTTCGTTTCATATTTGTCATACCAGGTGTTTTTAAACTACAGAAGTCGGCACAATGGACCTAAATCCTAAAGAACGCATGGGGTGTGGGTCCGTAGTTATAGAATTATACTTAACTCAGAACAATGGACGACCCCTTAGGAGAATAGCAAATAAATCTAATTTTCTTTTTTAAATAAAAACAATTATATATAACTATATTTTATTTATTAATGTATTTTTATACATCACACACAAAAAAAAAGAAAACATAAACAAATAAAAATACAATAATATAAATAATTTTAATTAAACATTAAAAAATTTTTTTTTTTTAAGTTCTCCTAATATAAAAAATTTCAGTTTTGCAAAATTATAAAAAATTTTACCTTTGCAAAACAAAGCAATGATTTAGATTTTTTTTTTTTTTGGCAAAATCTACGGGAGTAAGACGTGTAAATAAAAAAGCAATGGAAAGTAAATAAAAAAGCAATGGAAATCACAATGAAAAACATTGAAATACTAATATCAAATAAATTAGACGAACATAGGAACAAGAGAAAACTTTTACTTTAATTGTAAGTGGCAACCTTAAAATCATATCAGATAAACTTAACGTGATGGAGAAAGAAATTTTAGAAAACAAATCAAAAATTAAAAATACAGAAAAGGATCTTAACGATGTTAAAGATAGTATACATTTCCAAGAAGAAAAAACTATAGAAAAACTTAAAAAACTTAAAAAATACTTCGATAATGAAATCAACGTATTGTACACAAGAACAACAGATTTGGAAAATCGATCACGTCGAAATAATCTCAGAATAGATGGACAAGTAGAAAAACCAGGAGAAAGTTGGAGCGAGTGTGAAACTGCAGTGAAAGAAATCTTTAATAAAAAATCTTAAAATATCAAGCGAAGTGGTTGTTGTAAGAGCCCATCAAATTGGCCCAATTAATAATAAAAAACCTAGAACAATAGTATTGAAAGTCTTAAATTTCCAGGATAAAAACAAAATCCTTAATGCTGTAAAAAATCTTAAAGGAACTGGTGTGTATATTAACGAGGACTTTTCGCAAGAAACGATTGAACAACGAAGGAAACTTTGGGAAGAGGTGAAACGATTTCGAAATGAAGGTAAATACGCCATTTTAAAATATAATAAAATATTTAGTCGAGATTTTAAAAAGTAGCGATGCGTATTTTTCTTAATTTTTTTTTTCTTTCAAAGCGCTTTTAATTTATCATTTTATTAAGCATAATGAATAACGAAACAATAGATTTTGAAACGCTGAACTTTAATGTCTTCGAAACGGCAAATAATGTTATACTCAACGATTTGAATGACGCAGATGCGCAGATTTTTCGCGGAATAAATTTTGGTTCTAAACAGAAACTTTTAAAACTGAACTTACAACTTTAAGGAATAAATTCACTGCATTACACATAAATATAAGAAGCTTAAATAACAACATTGATAAGCTTAAGCGATTTCTAACCGAATGCAATTATTTATTCAATATGATTTGTTTAACCGAGACATGGTGTTCTGACGAATCGTCCAGAATAAATTCAAACTTAGAAATTCTTAATTACAAATTAATATCTTCTGAAAGAAAAACTCACAAAAGGGGAGGGGAAATTATTAACTATATTCGAACTGATCAAGCCACCAAATATAGAGATGACCTTTCTACCTCAGATGCCATTAGTGAGGTCTTTACAATTGAGATAACAACAAATAACAAATCAAAAAACATATTAGTCTCTGCATGTTACAGACCACCTGATGGTGATATAACAAAATTTTCTAATCATTTAAAACAATTTTTTTATAAAAATAACAATGAACAAAAAAAACTATTTTGTATTGGAGACATTAACATTGATTGCTTACAATACGATAAACATGCCAAAACTAAATTTTTTTTTGACGAAATGCTCCAACATTACATCTTCCCAATTATTAATAAGCCGACTCGGGTAACTCAATCATCAGTAACGTCAATAGACAATATATTAACAAATGCAGTTCTTGATGTTACTTTAAAAGCAGGTATTATAAAAACAGATATATCGGATCATTTTCCGATTTTCTTTTTTCTGTTACACGATAAAAAAACTACTAACGACCAGTGATATTTTCGTACACGAGAACGAAAACGAGAACGAAAAAAAAAGCCTTTCGTTTACGAAAACGAAAACTAAAACGAAATTTATTTTAAGAACGAGAACAGAATAAAAACGATAATTTTAAATTTTCGAACGGAATAAAAACTGAATCGAAAATTATTTTAAAACGAAATATTTTCGTTCTAGATTTGAAACGAGTTGAATTATTTGATATATATAATTATTATATTACAATACATTATAATGATATATTATTCGAACTTAATTGAATTTTATTCAATTAAGTTCGAATAAGTTTAGTTATGATATAGTTCGAATATATTTATTCGAATATATTTTTTCGAACTAAAAAAAATCAAACTGTAAGACCAACACAACTACGCGATGAGTTTGAGTAAACTTTTTTTTTTTCATCCGACAAATCAGTATGTTTATAAACATACTGATTTGTCGGATGAAAAAAAAAAAGTTTACTCAAACTCATCAAAGCACCAAGTAAAACTATAGTTTTACTTGGTGGTGAAAAAGTATGCAATACAAAGTTGTGTGGAAAGAACCCAACAAATCTTAAAGTTAGTTTATCTGTTAGAGGATATGTTTTCATTTTGAAACAAACGACTCATTTTTATCATTTTAGAGTAATTATTCAATAACGTATACGAACTTATTTATACATTAATTGATAAACAGATAGATAAATAAACATATAAATATACAAACAAAAAATTATATAAATATGTTTATTTTTTTCTAGCTACATTTAGCAAGAAACCATAAGTCTGTACACGTTGAGCTGGAAGAGTCGGAATTAAAGAAATTAAGTGAAAAAAAGCAAACAGGGATAAAGAGAAAAGCAGTGGATGAAAATGGACCCACTCTTTTAGAATCGTCCTCAAATCAGAACCAGACCTTGATTCAATGCATTAATCGTAGGAATACCGCATGGCCTATTAATTCACACGAGCATAAAATTCGACTAAACTCTCTTATTCAAATGATAATTGCAACATGTAATCCAGTGACATTGGTGGATAATGCGAGTTTTAGAAAGTTAGTTAATACCTTGGATTATAAATTTTCATTGCCTGCTACTGCTAAAATTACTAGCCTACTTAATGAAGAATTTACTGTTTTAACGAGAAAACTTCGTGACTTCATATCTGAAGGCAGGCGCTTCACAATATGCCTTGATGGCTGGACTAAAAAAGGTCTTACTGCGTCCTTTTTAGGAATTTCGGTTTGTTTTTTTCACTTCAAATCCGAAAAACCAATACATGCTCTGCTTAATTTGTATCTTGTGAAACATCCACATACAGGTGAACAAATTGCTAATTGTTTTGAAAAATACCTAAAATATTGGAATATTTCGAGAGAAAAAATATTGCTTGTTATTTCGGACAATGGAGCAAACATGGTCAAAGGCATAAAGTTGTCGAGAATGAAAGCTCAAGCTGAACGTGATATACTTATTGAATTAGAAAGTGAGGTTAATGAAGAGCAGATAACAGATCTGGAAGACGATGAGAATATGACAAATAGTGAAGAGTGGGAACATGTTGACTTGATAGTTGATGTAATAGAAAACGTAGCATTTAGAAGATTGGGATGCATTGCACATGTTATACAGCTAGTTGTAAAACTTGCATATGATGGTAAATATCATGGCTTACTTTTGAAGGTACGTGGATTAGTGGGAAAAGTTCGCAAATCTTCTGTTGCATTGGAAAAAATTATCAACAAATGTGGTAAGACTGTGATCAGCGACTGTTCTACAAGATGGAACAGCACTTACTTTATGGTTCGGAGATTTCTGGAAATAAAGACATCTACCAACGAAGTGCTTGGAGACCTTAACATTGATTCACTTGCCAATAGCGAATGGATAATGCTTCAGGATTTTGTCAATCTTTTAGAACCTTTTGCCAATGAAACTGATATTCTTCAGACGGATGCACTTTCACTATCCAGTGTTATACCTTCAATACTTAATTTAGAATGTCACCTTGAGCAATTTGGAGATGCCAAAGATGTAGCAGTTAAAATGCTTGAAGATCTACGCCGTCGTTTTGCCGTTCTTTTGCAGCCAAACGATTCTAATTTTAATCCACTGCCATGTGCCGCATGTCTACTTGACCCCACATGTGCAATAGTTCTTTTAGGTAATGAGCATACACAAATCAGAGAGTGTGCAAAGAAATACATTTTGTCAGAGGCTAAAAAATCGGTGCAACATGATTTACCTTTAGCAAGTGCATCTACTCTTTCTGTTGAGATTGCTCCAGAAATAAATGAATTAACAAAATGGAAATTTTTAGCGGCAAAACAGCGAGTAGAAAAAATAAAGCTTATTCCAGGTAATGAAGCACAAAATGAACTCAACAAATATTTTATTGAAATAAGGAACAGCTCTATGGGCCAAAATGCTTTAAATTTCTGGAAGATGATAGGTGCTGTTTACCCACATATTGCACCATTAGCTGAAGACCTCATTGCAGCTCCTGCAACTCAAGCATATGTTGAAAGACTTTTTTCAATCTGTGGCTTGCTCACAAATGGACGGAGAAATCGAATGTCAGCGTCATTGGAAATGCGAGTTTTTATAAAACTAAATTCTCATCTAGTCTAGATGATAATCATATAATCACTAGGCCCTTTATTTGTAAAATATATGAGTAATTATTAAAGTCTATAAAATAACTATTCATTAGTTTTTATTGTTACCAAATTTGAGGAGTTTTTTTTATACCTAATAATTGAATTTTTTTTAAGTTTTAGAGCAATAAGGACAGGTTGTTGTTTCGTTTTTTATTAAGGGCGGTGGGCGGGGCTCTAAACTTCTAGCCATGGGACTGGGTGTATTACATTTAATTAAGTTCTCATTTTTTTGTTTGTTTATAGAACTAAGACTTACTTCTTTTAATTATATATGCCTATATTATTTATAAATTATACTAAATTATAATTAGATGAGATAAAAAATTTGTACGACAAACGAAAATTGAACTAAATAAAAACTAAAACTAAAATTAATTTAAGATGAACTGAATAAAAACTAGAACTAAATTTATTTACTGAACTGAATAAGAATTAGAACTAAAAACTTTGCCTCTAAACTGAATAAAAACTAAAACAAAAATTATTTTCCGAACAAAAATATCACTGCTAACGACTGTAAAATCGAAATTCATAAAAGGAAAATTAACAAATATGCTATTCAACAATTTAAAGAATCACTATCGGCAATAAAATGGGACAAAGTATACCAAGAATGTAACCTTGGACGCACTCTGCTTATACTAATTTTGAAAACATTTTCTTAAAAAACTATAATAAATAATTCCCAATAAAAGTAATGCTTGTAAAAGAAAAACATCTAAAATGTCCGTGGATCACCAAAGGAATTAAATAATCTTCCAAAAAAAAAAAAAAAACTTTATATCAAATACTTAAAAAATAGAAATGAAGCAAACCTAAATGCTTACAAACAATATAAAAATTTGCTTGAAAAGATCAAAAAGATTTCAAAAGAGAATTATTACTCAAATAAAATAAAAAACTCCAAAGGTGATATTAAAAAAACGTGAGACGTAATTAAAGAAATAATTGGGAACAAAAATTGCAAACCAAATAATTTACCTACTAAAGTTGTTATAAATAATGAAGAGTATGTCAGTAGTGACGTAATCTCAGAAAAGTTTAACAATTTTACGTTAACATAGGCCCTAACCTGGCTACAAAAATTAATTGTCCAAACAACTCATTTGAGACATACTTAACTAATAACAACAACGAATTAGCATTTAGCGAACTAAAAATTGAAGAACTTGAAGTTGCGATAAAATCTCTTAAAATAAATAAATCTCCAGGTATAGATGATATTTGTAGCAACATCGTTATCGATGTCTTTTTGAAGATACGCAAATCGATCTTCAAAATATTTAATTCATCAATTAAAACAGGTACTGTACCAGATAAATTGAAAACAGCTAAAATTATACCAATTTTTAAAACAGGCGAAACATCTTTATTAAATAATTACAGACCTATCTCTATACTGCCTACTTTCTCTAAAATACTTGAAAGAATAGGTTACAATAGATTATACGAAAATCTCCTTCAAAATAACCTCTTAAACAAAAAACATTTCGGGTTTCAAACAAAACACTCGACCGAACATGCCATTTTAGATCTTGAAAATAGCATGGGTAATTCTTTCGATAAAAAGCAATTTGTATTAGGGACTTTTATAGATTTATCTAAAGCGTTCGACACAGTTAATCACAATATCTTACTTAAAAAAATGGAAAGATATGGTGTTAAAAATATATCCCTTGACTGGTTCAAAAGTTACCTGAGTAGCAGAAAACAATGCGTTGTTACAGATCATAATAAATTTTCAGACCTACTAGAAATAAAATGCGGAGTTCCCCAAGGTTCCATTCTGGGTCCCCTTTTATTTCTAATATATATCAACGATCTTCCAAAAGCCCTGAAAAAAATTGATGTAATAATGTTCGCTGATGATACAAATTTATTTTACTCATCGCCGTCTATAAGCGACCTTTACGAATCTATGAACACTGACCTCGAAAACCTCAACATCTGGTTTAAAGTAAATAAATTATCTTTGAATACAGAAAAAACAAAATATATCTTGTTTCACTCCAACCGTCTTAATAACTTTATACCAGGCACTTTATACCTTCACTAAAAATTGATAACATAAACATCAAAAGAACTGAAATAACTAAGTTTCTTGGAATAATTATTGACCAGAATATTAATTGGAAAGCCCATATTAATACAATAAACACAAAAATATCAAAAAGTATCGGCGTACTCTACAAAGCCAAACCTATGCTTTCCCAAGACAACTTAAAAATTCTCTTCTTTTCTTATATTCAAAGTTACCTAACATACGCTAATATTGCATGGGGAAGTACCCATAAAACTAAATTAAATTCACTGTACATACATCAGAAACATGCATCAAGATTAATTTATAATAAAGATAAATTCACTTGTGCCGACCCTTTACTTAAAAATTTGAATGCATTAAATATCTATCAAATAAATATTTACCAAAATATGTTATTCATGCTAAAATACAAACTCGAATTTGTTCCGAAATACTTTACTGATAGGTTTTTTCATATCAACGCAAACAAATATATCACACGAGGAACAGGCAACTTTTTCTTGCCTTTAAAAAAAACAAAATTCTCGCGATTTTCTTTTATATACCGTGGCCCATACTTATATAACAAAATAATACTTCAAAATATGGAACTTAATAAAATGGATAACCTTATTGCTCTGAAAAAAAAACTAAAGCATATCATAATTAACTTAACCAACTTCATCGAAATGTATTAAACAATTTGGAAAAAATAGTAATAATAAAAAGCCCTACTACTTCTACTATATAGTAGATGCCAAAATACTTATGTGTATTTGTTGAGCTAGTTCATTAAAGTTTATTTTATGTTTTAAAGGTTCTCGATGAAAAAGTATATTTTAGTCTTCTTCGAGTTTCCTTACAACAAAGAAAAAAAATTTTTAAGAATAATTTTATATATATATATTCAACAACGTCCACAAGCAAGTCCCTAGTAGCCCTGTGGTACGACGGACTTGCATATATTTTTTAAATGCATGGGTTAATAGCCAGCACTTTATATTATAAACAATGAATAGTTACCTTATTTTGTACACTGTACAACGCGCATGCGCTGAACAGAATTTTGAATTTTGTCTTGTAAAAATTTTAAGTACAAAAATTGTTTAATCGTACGTTTTGTACTTATATGTAAAAATATGTAATTTTGTTTTATTGAAAAACATTTGATTTTTTTTGTTTTGTTTATAAGTGAAATTTAGCGTTGCGTAATTTATGGGCGATCCCTAACCCCGGTTTACGCAGGGCCGTACCGAAGAGATCTTTCACGGGGTTGGTGGGGTGTATGTATTTTTTGCTAACTAGAGACACCAGACCAAAAAAAAGGTACCTTTAATAACAAAGATAAAGGTTTCTTAAAATAAAAAACCTATATAAATTGTATTAGAAACTAAAGCCTTATCATTTTACCTAAATAATATTAAATCAGAAAGTTGAAGCTAATAAAAATCCATTTGTATAGCTATTTAAATAGCGTTTTTTTTTTTTTATTTGCTTTTGATTTTTACTTTCAAAATATAGAAAGTTCTTCATTATTTTTTCTTACAACAAAATCATATCAGTTTCAATATACTATTAAAGTTATATATTATATACAATGTATACTGTTATAAAATATTATACACAATATACTGGCACGGATGCAGCATTTATTAATGTTTTGAGATAGCTAAGATATGGAGCAAACTCAAAATATTTATGTTTATACTTTTATCAAATAAGGATGCTTTGCAAAAAATTGCGATGATTGGAGCCTGGGAACAAAAAAAGCTCCAAAATTTTAGCTACACCTGCCTCAAACTTAAGAGCAACAAGTTTATAAAAATTTTTTTATACTATTCTTAACTAAATCTATATTCTCCGATAAATTACAAAATTCATACAAAAAATTTTTTAGCGTTCAAAAATTATGACTAGAAAAAGTTTGAACCTCAGTTTGAGGGGGTTAAAAAATTTTATAAAGTCATAATTAATGAACGCTAAGAGATTATTTTACAAAATTATCGATCAATATAAACTTGGTTGAGAATAACAAAAAAATATTTTATTAACTTGTTGCTCTCACGTTTTCGGCAGGTAAAATTGTAGCTAAAATTTTAGTACTTCTTTGTTCCTAGGCTCCAATCATGGCAATTTTTTGCAAAGCATCCATATTTAATATAAGTATAAACATAAAAATATTTGGAATTTCCTTCATGTCAGGTTAGCTTGTTAGAGCCAAATATAGTTGTATATTTGGTAATATAATAAATTGTAAAAGTGTAAAAGTATTAGTTAAATATAGTGTTGGTATAATAGTAAAACCCAAAGAGAAACAAAAATGATACTTCAAGCGAAATACAAAATCTGTGTGATGTTGTAATTTTGAAATTTATTACGGGAATTATGTAAAACGGTATACCTAACAACATTTCCTATCAAGTTATCTTGATATTGAACGTAAATTGCACATACTTAATTCTGGTGCAATATATAAAATCAATAAAAATAAATATATAAAATCAATATATATAAAATCAAAAAAATATATTTAAAAATGCCTCGCTTGCCTCGAAATTTTATCAAAAAGTGTGAAAAAAACAAAAAACTTCAAAACAAAACAAAAATTAGGTGAAGTAGCTTTGAATTCTGTGAAAAGAAACAAAGCAACAGGAGCAGATGAAATTAATGGAAACGTAATTATAGATTGTTTCGATATATTAAAACATATTCTTTTTAAAGTTTTTAGAGCTTCTATAAATCAAGGAATTTTTCCAGAACAATTAAAAGTTGCTAAAGTTACTCCTATCTTTAAAGAAGGTGACAGATCAAATATAAGCAAATATTAGCTGAATAAAGATTTACTCTGTTGCATCATAGTATTTACAATTATCATAGTCAAACTTATTTAGATTTTGAAAAAAATTTTTCAATTCAGATGATGTGTCATAAAATGAATTATGAATAAA